GTCTTTCAGGTCATGGCTGATAAAATATTGTTGTTTTCACTCACTACGTACAACCTTTTCCCCACATTACAAGGGGGATTCTCACTCTAACACGAAAGGCAAAGAAGATGTGGGAACGAGAAACACAAGATGGAGGATCATAAAATTCAAATAACACGAATGACTTCCTCTGTGTTTCACACATGTCCTCCTTCGTCCATTCTTTTTTTTCTGTGTGTGTGTTTGTTTCCTTGCATGGGCGGGAGAGGGGCGTTGCGCGGTTGTTTTTGCGAGGCGGCATACACGCCAGGGCGATAGTGGCGCCGCCCTCTGTCACACACAGTCTTCGTGCGTGTGTGTGAGGCTGTTTCCTCCGCCACTCACAGGTGGAGCGGAGGAGAGGGGCCGCAGAGGCAAAAGTGGCAGCCACCACACCACTGAGGCGGAGAGGGCGTGCGTTGGGCACGGAAGCGTACTTCATGCCCGGAAGCTCGCGTGTGAGGCTGGACGGCCTGACTGCCAGTGCAACGGCACGGGACGTGGAGGGCTTGCTGGTCTATTGCGGCAGGGTTGTAAGCGTCGTTGGGCTCGAAGAGCCGGCGAGTGCGACGGGTTACTGCGCGGTGGTTGAGTTTGAGGATGCGGGACGCGTTGAGGTGGCGCAGTTGCTTTCCGGGGCCGTTTTCCAGGGGCGCGAGGTGCGCGTCACGCCGCTCACGGACGCAGCGGGGCAGGGGGGGCGGCGGCCCCGGGGTTGAGCGCCACTGGCGTGGGTGCCAAGAGGAAGTCGAATGCCTTGCGCCGCGCAGTGGAAGTCGCAGAGAAGCTTCAGAAACACACGGCGATATCCAACTGCCGCGACCTCCTTGGCGGACTGTGCCAACAGATCAGGGACGCAGACTATGCTCTGGCCACGGCCACGGCCACGGCCACGATGCAGGCCCAAAACCCTTTCGAGGGCAGCAGGGCCGTTGGTGGTGCGGGAGCAACGACAGAGCAGTGGGACTACACACCCTCTCAGCCGCAGTGGGGGAGGAAACCGGAAGAGTGAGTCGCCTCCTTTTCGGGCCCTGCCATGAGCTCTCCTCGTTGCCGGCTTTGCATAAGATGCTTTCCTTGCAACGACCGTGCATTAATTTCTTGGAGCGCAGCTAGCTCTCACTCAAGAAGTAATTCGATTTTTATTTAATTTTATTGTTGTGTTTTTTGCGCATAGGGCGCTTTGGCTTTGCTGCCATGGTATATATGCTTGGTTTCTCCCTTCACGGTTTGCCATGCCCCCACAACTTCCTTTGCGTGCTGCTGTGGCACTTTCATGTGCCGTGTTTGGCCAGTTCTTCCTCCTTCCGCTGCCGGTGGTGGAAGTGAGTGTGGT